CCTCCTCGGCCGGGCCGGAGACGGGGTGAAGGTGAGGGAGTTCCCCCGACTGCAGCCGCACAGCCCCGAAAGGCGCATCCCTCTGCGGAAGGTTTTCAAACAAAAATGGTGTTTCGCTAGTCTAGAGAGCGCCTGCTCCCCTCTCAGTAAAATCTACAAGCGCGCTGGCCTGCAGAGCCCGCAGAGGTGAGGTGGCCATAGGCTGCTCTCCTCGCTGTCCTTTGGGGTGGGCTCAGGACCTGGATCAGGCCAGCCTGACGTTTGGGGAATGCACTTCTGGATTACCTCTCTGGAGTTTCCACACCTCCTAGGACTCAAGGTTTACTTTTCTGCCTCTCCCTACCCTCACCTAGTCGTGAGCTTATGCAGGGAGCCCCCCAGATGAGCCTAGGGTCCAACCCACAGCACCCATAACCCAGGGGAGCCTAGGATGTGGGTGTGAAACTTGGGAGAGTGGCTCCTCCTTTCCCCACTGCTCCATGTTGGGGCACTGCCCTATGGATTTCTCCAGGCATGAGCCAAACTGTGTAGTGACCCAGGGATTTAGGTAGGATGGGTCACACCTCCGGGAGGCAAAGTGGATCCCACATCCACCTCCCCAAGCAGCTGCGTCCGCGGGCACTTTTTGCCTGAGGGGAGGGAGCCCTCTAGTGGCAGTAAATATTTTCTACAACAAACATTTATTTCTACAACATTTATTTATTGAACCTCGTTTGGATTCTTGCTTCTTTGCTTTCTTGGGCAAAGCTCCTCCTGTCAGAATAAGAGCTGCCTCGAAGTCATTTGTAGATCTGGGACATTGATGAAAGTCTCACTCAAACCCGAGGTTGTAAATGTCCCCAGTGGTTTATTTTAGCTTTATTTATAATCTATTCTCTTTTTCCTGGAAAATAGAAAGAACACAGAGTTTAGGGTCACACATCCCTAGGTTGAAATCTTTGCGATACTTTCTGGGTACTTGACTTTGGAGTTACTTAATCCATCTAAACTACAGCTCCCCCACAGGACGTGGGAATCATAATAATTCTTTTAACCTTTCCGTGATAATTACAGGAGGAATATAAAGGGCATATAAAGGGCATAGCCTACTACCTGGCATATTAGCATGCACTCAACAAATGCAGCTATTATTATTCATCTACTCAACAACAAACAGTTATTTACCAGTGTGAGGGACAGAAGAAAATGACTCTCCTGTTATAACAGCCACAAAAGGCAATATATTGTGACCTTTATTATGAAGCTCCTATGACCAGTTTATATAAGGTGGAACAGAATTCAGGCAGGAGAGAAATCAGTTCTGAGCAGATCATCAGGGAATGGAGGAGCTGAATCTGGATTTCATCTGGATATTGATCTGCTGGAGGGTTCTAAGCAGAGGTCTGAGGTTCCAGGATGAAGGAGTCAAAGCTTGTGGGTGGTGAAGTTGAGGGATGTCTAGAAGACAGCTGAGGAAACACCATAGCTTGAAAAGCAAGTCCGTGAAAGGGGGTGGTGGGAAGAGAAGGGATATTAAGGTAGGCTGGGGGTTGTTGGGGCCAGTCTTCATGAAATTCAGGGCTACTGGCTTTTATGAGTAAATGTGTTTGGAGTTCCACTTGCCTTAACCACAAGCCTCTGAATACTGGGCAAATGAAGGATCACCATATAAGGGGGAGGGAGGAAAGACTGGTAGGTGTTTTTAGAGCATGTTGTTTAATCCTTCTCACTCCACATAGCAGATAGCATTGCCTGTGTCCTACAGATGTGGAGACGGGACTTGAAGAGGTTCAATGACTTGTCTGGAAGGTCACACTGCTATAAGTAGCAGAAGGAGGTTTCCAAACTCCATCTGCCCGATGCGAGCTGAGCCCTTCCTGCACCTCCTCCAGAAGGCTGACAGACTGTGGGGACCGTGAATGACTCTCAAGGAAAAACTATGCCAAGTCATGGCACCCAGGTGGCCCTTCCTTTGCAGTTTCAACTCTTCCTCCTTTGAGAAAGGGTGTTCTCCAACATTCCCGGGGAGCTTGACATCTACCTAGCCACCAAGAAAAATGGTGAGCCAGCAGTCAAACTTCTATGTTCAAGTCAGTGCAATAGGGTCGGAGCCCAAAAAGAGTCTGGAAACCCGAGTGGAGTGGGGGCGGGGGGCCATAGCACAGAAGTGGAGGCACTGGCTCTGAATCAGACTGTAGGGAGCTTGAACCAGACATGTATTGCGAGCCTCAGATGCCTCATCTATAACCTGGGCTAACAGTACCCATCTTTCAAGGCCATGGCCGGGGTAGGTGGTGCAATGCCTGCAGCAGTGGACCCTTCAATGTACGATATTTATTATAACTTGGGCGGTCGAGGAGGGTGCTTGGTGAGCAGCTGCAGTAAAGGGTGACAGTAAAAGTCTGCTTGCAGGCTCAGCAACAGCCACTGTGGATAATCCAGGGGAAGTTTGCTGGGGAGAGGACAGGTGGGGGTGGTGAAGAAGAGGGGCAGGGGGAGGTGGGGGGAAATTCTCCCGGCTTGTAGGACAAAGCCCTGCTTATAGAAGAGGAAGAATGTCCCACAGAGAGCAGGAAGCGGAATGCAAAGGGGAAGGAGATATACATGGACATGTAGAAGGATCGAAGAGGCGGAGTCCCAGGGAAAGGGAGAGGGGAAGGGACTGGGACAGGGGCGGAAGGTGGGGGCACCCTGGGAAGGAGACAAGAGCAAACATGGCAATGCCCAGAGGACACCTCCCAGCCTGAGACTGGCTGGAGCCCCTGGCTGCAGCCAGGACGGCCCTGGCCCTGCTTGGCACTGCCTGGGCTGCTTCCATTGTCCCTGTGCGTTCAGGCAGGGGCACTGGTGGCATTGTCATGAGCTGCTCCATTCAAAGGTCTTCCAGGGGCCTGGCCCTGCTTGGATCTGTGTGGAATTTGACACCTGGTGGGAAATACCAGTGTGTGTGCAGCTGTGAGACAGGAAGTCTCACTTGGGCAAGGCACTAAGGTGCTGGGCTCCCACACACCCATCTGCAAGGGTGCCCGTCTGTAAGACGGTCAGTCCGGCCTGTCTACTTCCCGGAGTGCTACCGAGGCTGTGTGTAGAAGCCAGGTCCTCATAGGAATTATAGTGTCAAAGATGATGACTGATGTTAAACGTAGCTCACAGGTGAAGAGGGTTTTCCCCCACCGGCTCCTTTCTCTGAAAAATGTACAGGAAATTATTTTGAAGTGCTTTGATCTTCTTGACAGAAAAGCACCAAATAAATTCGAGATGTCACGGTCCATTAGCACCCGTGCTTTGAGACTGAGCGTGACCAATTCTGTTCAAGGCCGGTGACCACCTTTCAGGATCTCCTAAAATCTGAGCCCTACCAGGTCCTCGCCCCCAAGGCTGCTCCCCTCTGAGCCATGGTCAGGTAACCAACCTGAAATAGGCCCAGGGGCTCCCTGTGAAGGCCACCACCCTGTTTACGTGGCTGTGCTCCTTGCCTGGTACTGGGGTGTCCGTTCCCGTGACTTGGGTCTGCACCTTGGTCCAGACCTCTGCCATGCAGCCACTCGGCCTCCCTGAGGGCATGACCATGGACCCTTAACCGAAACAGTGACTGCCATTTATTGGGTGCCAGGCACTTTCCCAGCATCACCAAGTTCAATCCTCACAGTTCCTCAGTGAGGAGCTTCTCCCTCCAGTCTTCTGGAGTCCAGGGACTGCAAGGGACTCTGTAGCTGGGGATTAGAGGGAATGAGCAACTTGCCCTGGTCACTGAGCTATAGTCAGAGCCAGGGGTCAAATTGTTTATTTATTTTTAGACAGAGGAAGAGAAAAAGAGGGGGATGAACATCAATGTGATTTACCCCACCACCAGGGACCTGGCCCTGAAACCCAGGCATGTACCCTGACTGGGAATTGAACCAGTGACTCTTTGGTTTGCAGGCCGGCTCTCAATCCCCTGAGCCATACCAGCCAGGGCCAATGTGCTTTTGTTTTTCTATACAGTTGTTACCTAATTAAAATGCCTGCACAGCTGTGGTCAGTGTATGATCTAGTTGGATTAATTTTCCTTCAGGTTCCCTCCTAGGCCCATGGCCTGCCAGGGGAAAATGCTGGTGGGGGCCCGGAAAGTAGAAAGAAAAAGGAGACATTTTTCTTTTTTAAAGTTTTGAAGGGCCTTTGGCAGCACAGCAGCAGGGGAGGAAAGGGCTTCCCCAGTGTGGGTGGCGTCAGGTCGGAGTCGCCTCCCCGGAGCTCCTGCTCACCAGCGGTGCTAGCACAGTGTGGGCCGGGGGCCCTGCCTCCAGGGCAGCGCGGAGCTGGGCTTCTGGCGTGGCAGCTCTTCCAACCCTCTACCGCTTTATTGTGACCAGATCCCTTCCATTAAGTTCCTCTGCTTGAACTATCTAGATTGTGGGTTTTTTTGGTTTTTAATTAATTAATTAATTAGTTAGTTTTATAGAGAGGGGAAGGGAGGGAGAAAAAGTGGGAGAGAAACATCAATGTGTGGTTGCCTCTCATGCGCCCCCTACTGGGGACCTGGTCTGCAACCCAGGCATGTGCCCTGAATGGGAATCGAACCGGCAACCCTTTGTTTCACAGGCCTGTGCTCAATCCACTGAGCTATACCAGCCAGGGGTTTTTGTTTTTTTGAGTCAACACTGCCTGGATGCTATTAAAAAAAAAAAAAAAAAAAGAGGAGTTCTTATATGAAATATGTGAAAGCAGAAATAAAAATTGAATGGAAAGCTTAGAGGATAATGTTGATGGAATCCCCCAGAACGCAGAGATAAACAAAAACAAAAATCCAAAAATGTAAGTGCCCAACTGTTATATACTATTGTTATACTGTAATAATAGCATATAACCTTGTCCTGACATAAGTAACTTTCCTCACGTGACTGCTCCCACCTCAGGTCTGGCGTTCAAATTCGGCACGAGGTCATGTGCTGGTTGTGGCGGTGTCCTGGTTAGTGCAATTTGAGAAAAAAGCTGGAGAAAGACAACAATCTTCTCACTCATAACACTCTGACAAGAACTTTAAATATATTCACAGATAAAATATATTTTAAAATTAAATATATTCATAGATAGATAAGCTTTATTTGAATGCCTGCATAAATATAAATTGAGGTCAAACAAGAAGGCTTTCCCAGCGGGTGAAGTTGTATTAAATGATAGAACTAGGTCCTTCCCTTTAGCTGGTCTCTGAGTTTGGTTGACTGGTCTGCCCTCGCTAATCAGTTTGACCAGACACGAAAATCTAAAAATCTCTGGGAGGCATTCCCTCTTTGTCTGGGGGTCTCTTAAAGGGCTTTCAGCTACAGGAGAAGGACAAAGTCCTCATTGCTCGTTTAAATTTTAGCTGTTTGCAAACCGTGTACAGAGAACTTAATGTTAACACACAAAATATACATATATGCTGTAACGGTAACTTTGCTTTAAACATTTTTCATTAAAGAATTATTTTTATTATCTCTCCACAAACAAATTTATAAAAATATCTGTCAACACATTAAAAAGACACCTGAAAATCTGGGAATGAAAAATTGTAAAGTATAAACTGTGCTACATGCTCTGTGATTTACAAATAATAAAATCCTACAGGCTAGAATTTCTGAGTGATCTTGATAGACATTTACTAAGAAGAATCAGAACATCAAATCTTAAAAGTTTCAGTTTTCACCCCAGATGAGTTTCGGAAACGCTGTGATTCGTCGGCAGGCACAGGCCACACAGGCCCTTGTGGCCGCCACTGCTGAAGCTGACCCCAGCGAAGGACAGAGGTCTCTGCGCTGGATGCGCCAGGCTCATCCCCGCAACTGACCAAAGTGCTCCTCTCTTATTTTTTCCTTTCCGTGTTAAACATAAGTAAATATACGTATGGTAAAAACTTTAAATGGTCTGGGAAGATCTAAGATAATAGGCAGATATTGGCAAATCTGATGTCTCCAGAATCACTAGGCAGTCATATGAATAATTTAGAAATGGAAGTCAACCCGAGTCCCTCCATCTGAAAACAGCTCCCAGGCCCCTGGAACCATGCGACTCTCTTATCCCCGTCCTCAGTTGCAGAGGAAGCCACGCAGCCTGCTCCTTCTTCAAAGAACCAATTACGAAAACAACACACGCACTCTACTCAGAAACAGCGAGTCCAGCACACCTCGGACTCCCAGCCGGAGTCCCGCTATCTTCCCTGAAATGAAGGAATCACATTTACTAACAAGGCATTTTCAAAAGTAAGAAAACCTTCTCTTAGTCAAAATGAGGTTGCTTGGTCCTTGTAAAAGGGAGAGGCTTAACTCTGACAGAAAGTCGGGTTGTCTGGTCATTACTTTAGGGTGTGAGCCACAGGGTCCCAAATATTCAAGGTAAAACCAGGTCAAACTTCTCAAGAACAAAGGGAAGGCAAGTTAGCAAGGGACTAGGAGAAGAGGCATTCCTTCTGAGAAACTCCCCGCTCCCCCTGATGAGAAGCCCAGTGCCCGCCCCCGCCCACTCCACCTTGGTGAGCCGGACAGGTGCACCGGCAGGGGCAGCTCAGCCGAGCCCCTCCTCGATGCCTCGGATCCTCCTGGCCAGCTGCACGTCCTTCGGGAAGAGGGTGACGCGGCCGGCGTGCAGGGAGAGGAGGTAGGCGTCCTCAAAGAGATGCACTAGAAAGGCTTCTGCCGCCTGGGACGGGGACAGAAGTAGACCAACCTAGGCAAGGGCACAGGGCCACTTTCTCCTTGGGGACCTGCTGAACTTAGTCTCTGAGGGCTCAAAGGACTAAAGGAAAGACTGTTTCTGAATGAGACCGAACTGCCTGGGTTTCTGCCACCACCAGACCAGACCCAGCCTCCAAACCCTGGGTGTTCATGGGCCTCTTTTCAAAGGAGGCGTGAGTCAGTATGAAACACCCCACTTAGCCCTGTGCAGTTCCAGAACACCCTTCTCCCATACTCACCCCTCCCCCACTGCCCTGTGGCCCCCTTACCTCCTGTAGGGCCAGCAGGGCGTGGGCTTGCCAATTGAAGTCCACACCACGAGTGAATTTAACACATATTTCTCTTGCCTGTGAAGGAGTAGAGATGGGAGGCAAAGGAGAACGGGTTGGGGGGGTGGGGAGCAGAGTAAAAGAAGAGACTGGGGGAGGATGAGTCTCTAGTGAGCCTCAGGAGAGAGGCGGGGATCTCCCAGGGCAGGGGTGAAAGGGTTTTATTTACATAATCAAAGGTGGTGGTGGGGATTGGAGATTAATTCCATAAAGAACTGGAAGGTACCCTGGGCAGGCCCTATCTTTTATTTATTTAAATTGTATTTATTTATCTTTAGAAGGGAAGGGAAGGAGAGAAACATCAATGTATGGTTGCTTCTGGTGCATCCCCTGCTGGGAAGTGGCCCCTGCTGGGAACTGGCCTGCAACCCAGGCATGTGCCTTGATGGGGAATCGAACCGCGATGTTTTGGTTCCCAGGCCCGTGCTCAATCCACTGAGCTATACCAGCCAGGGATCAGACCATCTCTTTTAGAGGATAAAGAGTTCCCTAGTAAGAGAAGAGGTCCCTTGGCCATTTGGGCAAGAGACGATAGGGTCCCCAATACCTTGGAAACTTAAAAGGACAGCATAGGGGCGGGCAGGAAGCCCCCTGGAGCTCACCAGGCGGCAGAAGGGGGTCTTCCTTAACAAAAGTTGTGTGCTCTTCTGAAGATTTTTGATCTCCCTCAGAATCAGATGTCTCCGCCGCCGCCGACGGAAGGAAGGGCCTGAGCAAAAGAGTTGGTCAACCAGGTGAGGTGTGCTGGGGAAGGGGCAGCCCCGCGGCTGGGCGGCCCCATAATACGGTCCACAAAACCGGGGATTCTGTCTGTTTTATTCACTGTGGCTATCTTCAGCGACTGGAAAACGGCAGTGAGGTGCTAAATAAATACCTGTTAAATGACCCAATGATCCTTTGAGGGTCTTATTGACTGTCGATAACGACCCTTCGAGGGTTGAGCGTATTATCTTAAATGCCTTTCCTCACTCCCGAGCCCTTGCATCTGATGGGTCGCCTCCCTCCGCTGGGCTCCACACCTCTTCTATCTTTCCCGCCTCGACTGCAAACCCACTTTTTCTGTTTTTAGGTCTTTATTTTATTTTCTGGAGCTGGAAGGAATCTCTGAGTATCTTGCACTGTCCCCTCGTCCTGGTTACCCTTAGGCCGGAAGAGGTGAAGACGTTTGGCCAGAGCTCATTAGCGGCCTCGGTGGTAAGCTCGGAAGTGGCAGAACTCAGCACCGCGTCGGGCCACCGGGCTCGACGTCTAGTTCCAACAACAAAAAGAAAGAAATCTTAAAAACATTCCCCAAAGTAGAAATAAAAAAAAGTCCAACTCTCTGACTAGAAATTAAAAACACAGGAGTACAAAAAATAAAAAATTTTCTAACTCTTTTGCTAAAGAGGAAATGTGATTGAAATGAGCCTATTTAGAACTGACTAAAAATAAAATTTTATATCTCAAAACTTCTGAGATAGAGCCACATCGTACTAGAAGAAAATGTGTACCCTCGAGATCTGTTAGAAAATAAGAATGTGAAAAGCTATCTGACCTAAGCGGTCAACTCAAGTATCAGGAAGAGAATTAGTAAAATAAGCCAGTGGGTTGGGCACTGTTCTGCAAAGCAAAAGGTCGCTGGTTTGATTCTGGTCAGGGCACGTGCCTAAATTGATGCTTCAGTCCCTGGTCGTTGGGGGTGCATTGGAGAGGCAACTGATCAATGTTTCTCTCCCTCTTTCTCCCTCCCTCTCACTCTAAGAACAAATACATAAATTCTTAAAAAAAAAAAAAAAAAAGAGCCCTGGCCGGGTGGCCCAGTTGGTTGGAGCATCACCCTGTACACCAAAAGGCTGCAGGTTCGATCCCCAGTCAGTGCATATACCTAGGTTGTGGGTTTGATCCCGGGTCACGGTGCTTATGGGAGGAAACTGATCAATGCTTCTCACATCATTATCTCTCTCTCTCTCTTTTTTTTCCCCCTCTCTCTAAAATCACTAAACATATCCTCGGGTGAAAATGAGAAAAAAATTTTTAAGCAAGCAAAAGAAGGTAGAGCCAAAGAAATATTCAATAAAATGAATTCATGAAAAAAGATTAAAACAAAAAATAGTAGAGCTGATTCATAAATTAAATCAAGGACCAATAAAAATAAATGAACCTCCGATAAGTTGAATGAAGAATAAAAACGAAAAAAAAGAAAAAACCCACAAAAACATTTGGAAGGGGAAAATCAGCTTCAGAAAAGTTACTCAAGGTGCAGCCAAGAAAAGAGAATCCACACCAAGTGGTTCAATAGAAGGGACTTAACCCAGTGAACTCATCGCGAAGGGTCAGAGGGGCTGCGAGAGCAGCCGGGCTGCTGGGGCGATGCAGAGATGCCCTGTGCCGAGCAGCTGGTGGTGCGGACTTTCTCCCCGGGGTGGGCCATGTGGGCCAGAGAAGCAGGGCCGTGTCCAGGGCACTGGTGACATTTCGGAGAAGGAGGTACATGCCCAGGAGGCCAGAGACTGGTACCCACCTCCCTCCTCATCACCAGTCAGCAACCCAGGCCCTGGAGGCGTCTCTAATACACAGGCAGCAGTCACAGAGCAGGACCAAAGGTCACCAAACAATTTCCAAAGGCCAACGCCATGAAACGTGGGAACAAAACTCAATGAACCGGAGGAATCCGAGTCCACAGAGAGAAGGGATAGAGATTTGGGGGGAGAGATGTACATCAGAACCTTGGGTGGGAGGGGACAAGGCAGGAAAGGGGAGGTAGGAAGCCAGGAGCCAAGAACAAGCGGTTAGGGAAAGCAGCTGATGAGAAAGCTCGTGGGCAAGGATGCGCTCAAACATTCGGTAGTTGGGTCTGGAGTGCCAGGTGTGCTGGGCTGATGGGAAGCCATGGAAGAGTTTCAAGGAAGGCGGAGAGGTGATCTGTTTACATTGTGAAGGCCGTTCCAGCTGTTATATAAGGAAAGGGGCTGGGCTAGGATGCTGGTGGCTTGGAGCAGGCTGGGGGTAAAAAGCGGGGTGGTGAAGGATACAGTATGGAGGTAGAACTGCCTGGACTTACGTTTGGATTGGACATGGAGGCGACAGAAAAGGACTTCTCCCAAGTTTCTGGCTTGAACACCCAGGTGGGTAGTTGTGCCATTTACTTAAGTGGGGAAAAGTGGGGATGAAGAGGCGGAGGGCAGTCATCAAAAGTTCAGCCTTTTCAGTATGTTTAGTGTGATGCACCCAAGAGCTCTTGGGAAGACAGGCAGTTGGCTGTGGGCATCTGGGCTGTTAACAGCAATGTGCGAGCTGTCGATGTGTGAGTGGTATTGCTGTCATGGGAAGGGGAAGACCACTAGAGACAGACGACCAGCATGGAGGTGCCGAGAGGCGGCCCGGCAGTGAGAAACGCCAAGCGGGAATTGCGGAGTGTGCGGTGTCACAGGAGCCGAGGGGACAGGGTGTTTCAAGGAGATGGTGGTGTACTGTGTCAAATGCTTCTGAGAGGCAAAGCGAGGAAAAAACACAAACATGTCTACTGGGTTTGGCAAAACAAAAGCAGCTGGTGACCTTGGCAAGAGGAGTTCAAGTGCACTAGAGGTAGGGGTAGCCAGACTGAAATGCGTCGAAGGATGACCAAGACGGCAGGCAACAGACAGTGTGTGCAGAGGTAAGTCTGGCTGTGTTTAGCAGGGCAGCTCTGCAGGGCAGCAGAGAGAAGCGGAGAGTGTGAGGGAGCTGGGCTGCGGGGACCAGAACCTGCCCCTGCCCTTTGTCTTTGGGTCAGAAAGAGCAGCAGGGCCCATTTGCAGAATGCCACTGTGAGGAGCTTGCATTTAATTCTGAGTGCAGGTGAAGAGGATCACACAAAACTCCTGGGAATGTAGGCGAAGAGCATGACCAAGGGCCTGGTGGGAGGAGGAGTGGCTTTTGATAGGGAGGGGGATGCCTGGGTTCTCTGTGTGAGAAGATAAGGGGAGTCCAGTCTGGGGGCTTCCATTCCTCAGTGAGGTGTGAGGCAAGGCAGTCACCAGCTGAGAGTGGGACGGGGGTCTGCAGTCGTTGGGGTTCCAAGAAGCAGAACAAGGCACGGACTAGTCACCGGAGGACGGAAAAGCAAGACTACTAGTAAGACTGCTGGGAGTGTTCAGTGTCCGTTTGAGATAAACATTTAATTTAACCAGGAGTAGAGAGATGCTTCTATACAGGAAAGCAACAGCAACCATCATACCTAATATTAGTCCCATTAGAATCACAAACGAGACAAAGATGGCCAAAACGCTGCCCTTACTTCAGTACCAGTCTCAGGGCCTCACTAATCCAATACAGTAAGAAATAAAACGCATACAAATGAAAAGGACTCAAAAGCCCTTTATCTGCAGACAATGGAATACAACTTCAATGAAGTGACTAAAAGATGATTAGGATTAACAACAGAATTCAGCAAGTGGGCTGGGTGCAAAGGTTATTGACATTTAGGAAAGAAAAAAATCTCCCATTCACAAGAGCAACATCTATGAACAATCTAATCTAGAACACACTTTTTTCCCACCCTGCTCTTAGCTACCTAGTGGAAGGCAAGCAGCCCACACCGCGGCCTCTCGCCCCCAGGCTGCAGCACAGGCACTGAGGCCCGAAGGCCGGTGCTCCTTCCGGCGCGCACCTCCGGTAGGGAGCAAGGTGAGAGCTCTCTGCTGGAGTAAAGAGCCCAGGTTAAGGCTCAACACGGCCCTTTGAGGAAGGAAGAACAGACAAAAAGAACGTAGAAGGAAGGGCATTTGCTAACAGTAGAATTGTTGTTTGAAATAATCACGAAAAGCAGCCAAGAATTTTGCAAATTTAAAAAAACCACAAAAACCGACTTGTAGAAAGCCTGTGCCCGCCAGAACAAGCTGTGCGACCTTGCTCAAGTTACAAGGCCTGTCAGTGACTCAGGGTTCTCATCTGTAAAATGGTCACCATATAAAGTGGAGATAACTCGCGTGGAGAGTGTAGCACAATGCCTAGTTAGGGGTGTGCACTCAACAAATGCGAGTAGTATCGAGCATTAGCATTAGGAGCCGGGTAGTCCGGGCCATTCTTCTCTCCTCCTAGGAACTACCGTCCCCAGTCCCTCGCCCGGCGTTGGAACTTAGGACCTGCAGCGAGCGGATGCCAGAGGGCCTGCGGACCAGGAGCCGGGAGATCCGGCTCCTCCAGGCTCAGTAAGGAGCCTCGGTTTTCTCGTCTGTGAAATGGGCAGGCGGACTCGGCCGCGTCCAGCTCACAGACAGGCTGCTGGGGGGCGGGCTCGGTGGGACAGGGGCTGAGGTCGGTTACCTGTGGAAGGGGGCGGACGTGGGGTTGCGCGGGGCGGACGTGGGGTGGTGGGGGTCGGACGTGGGGTGGCGGGGGTCGGGCTAGCGATGCGTTTCCTTGGGGTTTCGGTCTTGCGCTTCGGGCGGCGCGGGCCCATGGCTGACGCAGAGGGTCTCGGCCCCGCGGTTCCTTCCCGGCCTTCTGGGTTCGGGGGTCGAGGCTGGCGTCCAGGTCAAGTCTAGGAGTGCCCCGGCCACGTGGGCCCGCAGAATAGAGCGACTCCGGCACTGACTGGGGTTCAAACGGCCCGCTCCGCGGAGTAGGGCTAGCGTTTTTTAAACCCGAATCCTGAGACTCCCAGTGGCTGTGGGGGGACCAATGAAAGCACAGGCGGGGAGGTTAACGGCGGCGGTGATAGGAAGAAGGAGCGGAGATCTGGCTGATGGACGGTGCAATTAGCCAATCGACACTTGGAGAAGTGAAAGGAGGAGGGAATTTCTCCCGCCCTCTACTTGTTGTTGCAGGTGCTGTAAGACTTATGTTCTCGGGTGCCCTCTGGCGGGGAAAGGGAAGCTCAATTCTGGAGATGCAGGTAGAACGCGTTTCTCTAGACAAATCACTTTGCTCAAATATTTTGTGTTTTGCCCTACCAACCCAGTGATGGCATTTAAAGATGAGGAGACAGAGCAACAGAGAATGTGACAACTCCTTGTCGTGCTTGTGACCCTGCTGGGAACACCCTGTGAATATGACTTAGAAGCCGGTTTAACTGCACGTACATTATTGACGATTAGGGTCCTGGCACAACCAGAACTGGGGCTCTGTGGATGGGGTCAGACCATCCAGGCCTCAGCAGGGTCGCACTCTCCAGCATTACAATAGAATTAATAGGATCGTCCCATGGAAAAATCACCTTCCCTTCCTGTTGCGAATAATCCGCATTCAGGTCAAATGTACAACTGGGTAGTGAGCATAAAGTAAGCATAAAGATTTCACTTTCTAGGCTGTGCTTTCTTGTATTTTCTAAATGTTCTACAGTTAACACGTACTATAATCAGGAAAAATGTCGTTAGAAAATTAGTGATTTTGCAGAACCCCTGGGGTTTGCTGCGAACACAGTGGAAAATAATTGGTCGAAAAATTAAACACAGAATTAGCATATGATTCAGCAATTCCACTTCTGGGTATATACTTAAAAGAACTCAAAGCAGGGGCTTGAACAGTTATCTGCACACTAATATTTATAGCAGTGTTATTCACAATAGCCAGAAAAGTCCAAGAGGATGAATACATCAACAAGTTATGGTATATACAATACAAGGGACTACTATTCAGCCTTAAAAAGATAGTAAATTCTGGCACATGTTGCAACATGAATAAACCTTGAAAGCATTCTGTTAAGCAAAATAAACCAGATACAAAAGAATAAATGTTGTGTGATTCCACTTGTATGAGGTGCCTACAAAAAATTCATAAAGTAGGATGGTGGTTGCCAGGGAGGCAGGGATGGGTGTGGGGGAAAAGAGATGGGGAGCTAGTATTTAATGGAGACGGAGTTTCAGTTTGGGAAGATGGAAACATTCTGGAGGTGGATGGTCATACTTGTGAACAGTATAAACATTATTTAATGCCACTGAGTACACTTAATGGTCAAAATAGTAAGTTTTATGTTGTGCATATTTCACAACTAGAAAGAAATAAAGAGAAGGGAGGAAAGGGAAGGAAGGTTTAATTGAACCCTTTGAGGTGCAATCAAATCACAGAAATATGATTGGTTGTCAGTGATCCAGGTCAACACAGAGACAAGAAGTCCCACCACCCAGTCCTCAGCACCTGTGAGTCAGACAAAGCAAATCTTCACTCATTAATTTTGCTTTAGACATAGAGCTCCTACCTTGCTCTATTGAAATAGAAAAAAGGGTAGAAGAAAACATTTTAAAAAATCTTCACCAGAGGATATGTTTATTGATTTTATATTTTTAAAGCTTTTATTTATTTTTATAGACAGAGGGGAAGGGAGGGAGAAAGGGAGAGAAACATCAGTGTGTGGTTGCTTCTTGTGAGCCCTCTACTGGGGACCTGGCCTGAAACCCGGGCATGTGCCCTGACTGGGAATCAAACCAGCGACCTTTCTTAGTACGTAGGCTGGCACTCAATCCACTGAACCACACCAGCCAGGGTCGTTTGTTGATTTTAGAGAGAGGGAAATGAAAAGAGAAACATCGATGTGCAAGAGAAACAGATCAGTTGCCTCCCATATGCTCCTACCTGGGGACTGAACCCACAGCCTTTTTGTGTACAGGATGTTGTTCCAACTAACTGAGCCACCGGGCCAGGGTGAGGATGTTTGTTTTTAGATTCCACATAGAAGAGTGATCATACTGTATTTGTCTTTTTTTTTCTGAATGAACGTATTTCACTCAGCATAATGCCCTTACACTAGCAATTTTCCAACCACTTTCACCTCATGGCACACATAAACTAACTACTAACGTTCTGTGGCACACCAATGAACATACTACTTGCAGATCTGACCAAAAAAAAAGATGCAATTTTGATTCATTCACACCAGATGGCTATTCTTGTATTGGCTGTTGTCATTTTTTTACTTGACAGTCTAAAGGAAAAGAGGTCAGCGCCCCTGACTAGTCAGGCATTGCATATTTGGGCAACTCCTGCGGCACACCAGTTGAAAATCACTGCCTTACACACTAGAAGTCCTCCAACCAAGGTTCTAAAACGTCAGTCTCTTGAATGGCTCTTCTGCTCATCCTTTCCGCCATTTCCATAGTCCAGACCCTAATTAATTAGCGGTGATCTTACTGGCCTTCAGTACTCCCTAACGCTACCCAAATCTGTTTCTGTATCACAAGATGACCTTCCCAAACAGCTAATTTCCACCATGCCTCTCCCTTACCTGAAACTTCCCTGGGCACCCTAGTCTGCAGAGTCCTTATGCCTCAGCACAACCTAAAAGGCACAGCACTGTCTGGGAACCTGCCCCACTCTGGCCTGGTCTCTGCCCACTTATTGCTGGGCATACCAGTCTGTCACCTGCAGTTCTCAAGTACATCACCTCGTGACACAGGTTTCCATGCTTTTTGCGAGCTGTTCCCTCTTCCTGAAATACTTCCTCTTTCTCTCCCCCCAACACCGCCTGCCCATCCTTCAGCACCCCGCTCAGGTGGAGCTCTCTCGGAGTTCCAGGCAGGTAGCTGATCTCTCCTGCACCACCTGCCCTGCGGCCCGTGCGAAGGCCTCTTGTTGCACAGCAGGCTGTGCTGGAGTTCTTACTTTATGCATCCATCTCTCCCACTGTCTTTGATAGATCCACGTCAAAGAACACATCAGTTCTCAGTAAAGTCTGCTGCATTCCGGGACAGAAATTTCTCATTAAAATCTTTTTTGGACAAGAGTTCTTAAAGAAGAAGGGTGATTTATAAACTTTCGTGGCTACAGAGAGAATGCCCAGCTGACTGGGCTTTGAAAGGATGTAGTCAACAAAAGGCCAGATGGCTTCTAAACCAAGGCCAACTCGAAAGGGTGCTATTGGTCTAGAAGTGTGTTGGGAGATGAACGCATTCAGGAATGCTGGGAAAACTGCCTTTTTGGGGGTAGCCCAGGTCTTGAGAGGTAAAATAACTTGCCCAGGGGTCACCCAGTCAAGGCAGAGGCGAGGCTGCGGTCACAGCTCTGACTCCTGATTCCCCTCTACCACGTGATCCTTTGCTCCAGTCCTCTGGCCTCCTCATCAGGGGACAGAGCTCTGACCGCCTGGACTGCTGTTTGCTTAAACTAGGCAGAGACCTTTGGACAAAGTGAAGGTGAACAGAACTTGGCAGGGTCCTAAATTTCTGCCGTGGGCAGATTCCTGGGGAGAGGAGCCTGAGGGGTATCCCAGGGCCTGGCGGGCAGTCCTGCAGGAAGCCCTGGGACCACCCTGTGAGGGCCTTGTCCTGGTCAGTTCACTGAAACGTGGAAGGTTTAAATTCCACTGTGCGTGAACCCATGTTTACAGAAGTCTATCAGTCAATTCTGTTTGTGGGGCTCAGGGCCTCCAGGCCAAACCTCCACCATTCTGGGCCTGCTCCCTCTACTCAGAGCAGCGGGGCCACAGCTACAGACGTCCCCTACAGCCCCCACACAGACTCAGCCGGAGGGTGGGGGTCCTCACCCTCCTGCCCATGTGACCAACACGACACAGCACTGCTCAAAACTCACCCTCCGATGCACCCCTGACAAAAGGATGGAGTGAACATGTCCCCGAGGTTGGAGGGGTACCTACTGCCAGCATAAAGTCATCTTCTGTTTTATCCTATAATCTATGAAATTTTGTATTCTACCACATGATGGTGTGTATAATGAAACATCTTCTGAGCAAAGCTGATGTGCCCAGGTACTCAGCAGAGACCTCAGTGCCCAACAGACCCCCTGTGGACAGGACAGCCTCATGACACCCCACGTGCATTGGCCTTTACAAGCCCCTGCAGTTTATTCATCTTGGTAATTTTCACGCTCACCCTGCCAGAGGGAGGCCGGCTTCTCCATTTCTGAGACATGAAGACCCAAAGCTCCAGGAGGTACAGTGATCTGCCGGAGTTGGTGGCCAGCCTGATGAGGTGGTCCCCCTCCCAAGGCTCTGCCACCCCTCAAGTCCCAGGATAGGTTCCCCCAACCCTTCAACGCTGGAATCCACACAGTTCCCCCATGGCAGCACTCAGATACAGGCCCCGTGCTCCCCATTACACCCCGAGTGGTGCGCTGGGCTGAGGCACAGGCTGGGCACCCTGTGCAGAGGGCAGTCCTGGTTCCGGGTACGGGCTCCCGGCCACGCTTCCTGTGGCAGAAAGGGATGGGCGAGGGCTGAACTGGGCTTCGCTGTCTCTGGTGGTGTGACCTTGGGAAGTTCTTTCCTCTCCCTGGGTGCTGGTGTCTTCATCTGCATAATGTAGGAGGGTGGGGTGACTTCCACGCTCTGGTACGTTGGAGCTTTCCCAGTAACATTCTAGAGACGGCGCCCAGGACGGTCCCAACCCTGGCACCCCTTTCCTCTTTAAAGAAAAGTCCGTACTGACAATTTCCCTTCTTTAACATAAAGCCTAAATATAACATCCTAAGGCAGTTTTTTTGACATGGCGCGGCTGCTGTTATTCCCACCACCCTTGCGCTCCCCATCTCCTCCTTCCTGTGACGCACACCTTGGCCCGGGGACACTCAGGGGCCCCTGAGTCCCCTGGACTTTCATAACTCGCTGGGTTCCCGCACAGCCTGAGGGTTTTGCTTGTCAGAGATCCCTTCCCCCAGAGCCTATTCTAAGGAAGGCATTTGGTGTTTTAAGATTGAGCTGCCCAAGAAAATGGCCTGAGGCCCCAGAAACTGCCACCAAAGGAGGAATGCTGGAATGGAGGGCCACTGAGCTCCCTGGGGTCCCTGGTGCCAGGGCCCTTTCTTGGGTGTTACCAGGAGAACACCAGCTCATGACGTTTCTATCCCAGCCACAGGAAATTCTCCCGAAGACCCAGAGTGAGACCAGTACAGTAGGTGCGGCCATGGACTGGGAGTCAGGCAAACCTTTCTCGAATACCCGCTCCACAAGGAAGTCGCTTAACCTTCTCTGGGCCACAGTTTTCTCATTTGCACCCACCTGTGCAGATAGTTACACAACAGAATGAAAGCCAAGCAGTTCATATAATGCCTGGGATACCGGAGTCCCTCCGAATGGCGGACTCCTGGGCAATCCACCACCCTGGAGGGTGCTCTACGGGGTCCGGTTGCCGGGGTTGGGCCGAGAACCAGCTGTGCTCTAGGTCCCAGCCTGTGGCAGGATCACGTGGCTTCATGGCCAGAGCCCAGTGCAGGACACCCCTCTTGCTAAACAATTTATAATTTCGGGCTTCAGTTTCCTCACCTTTGAAATGGAAGGTGCAGAGTTTGTAAAAGCTGCCAGCAAGGGCTGCCTGGAATTCCCCTGCAGTGTCCTCCAGGGAGGGAGGCCCTGAGGTGTGTGAGCAAGGACAGCCCGAGCCTGGGGAGGAGGCGCCCTGGGCGGAGAGGAGCTGCCAGGGAACGGGAGCCGCTGCTCCCTTCCCAGGTTGGTAAGAAACAGGCCCACAGAACGGGCCCACTGGAAGGTGCTGAGGCCACAGGGTTGACACCATCTGCTTTTCAGAGCAGGATACCCAGGCCCCGAGCAACGAGGCTGTGGGCTGGGAAGCACACTGGGCTGGTGAAACCCAGGGCTCCAGGCAGGGTTAGGGGATATCTTACAAGTTTAAAAAAAATACGGGACTTAGTTCTGCTTCGAATTTGCTCAGTGACCTCTCTTTTTTGGAGAATCCATTTTGGCTTGATTTAGAAATTCTTGGGGTTATTAGTCCCTGCAATTCCACTTTGTGATTTTGCTCTAGTGCTGCCGGAGGGGCCTGGGGACAGGGGACTGCAGGGAGCTTGGTGGGGTCGGTCACTGCACTCAGGCCCATGGGGTCTGGGTAAGGCCTTTCTGCAGGAGGTGTGACAAAGGAGGACTTGGGTGTCCATCATCTTCTGTGATGGCAGCTGTCCTGGGGTCTGTGGGAAGCGGCAGGATGAGACCTTGGGGACGGGGATCTTGAGGCTCACTAGCCTGTGTGTCCTCAGCCGCAGGGTGAACACAGTACATCCAGGTGGCAGCAGAGGCCCCACAGAAGGCTCAGCTGGTGTCGTTGATGGGAGTCCGAGAGGCATCAAGCAGTCTTTCTTGCTCACCCTCATCTGCCAGGGGCCGACCTCGGGACAGGCGGGCCAGCAGCGGGCGGTGCAGCCCGTTGTAGAGGGCGGTGCCCGTCAGGAGGATGAGGAAGCCGAGGATCTGCAGCGAGTGGAAGGCCTCCCAGCCCAGAGCCAGGCTGAGTGCCCAGATGACGACGGTCCGCAGGCTGTCCAGCACCATGCGGGTGGTGGCACTCAGCTCCTTGGTGACGCTGATGCCCGCAAAGTTGAAGAAGGCGATGCTGCTGATGTTGCCCAGCAGCGCCAGGGCAATGAGCGGCTGCCGGCCCACTTGGCAGAAGGCGTCCAGAGCATCCTCCAGGGTCCCTCGAGGGTTTCCGCTGAAGGAGCCGGCAGGGATGTAGTACATGGGCACCAGCAGCAGGGACAGGATCACGAAGCCAAAGAGGCCTGCAGGAGAGGAGGCAGCATGTCACCTTGGCCCCGCCAGCCAGCACAGGGGGGCTGGCAAGGCCTCCCCTGACCTGCCACCACCCGTTCCTAGTGGCCCTCCCACTGGCACCTCCCACTAGTACGGTCCTGGAGCCGAACCGGCTCTGGCTGAGCCTTCTCCACATCAATCTGCCTTTTCTGACTGGACCAAGAATAAGAAATACATTACATTGTGACCAGAATATGTGTGCACAGGCACAGACGCACACTTTCAGAAAACAAGAGCTATCCCTACAGTGTACACTGCTGTCTGATACTTTCAAATTCTAGGCTATTCATTTAGAAAACAATTGCTGGCTATCACCGCTACAGTGCTCACCACTGTGGAAAAACAGCTTTCTCATTCAGAGTCACTCATCTGTGATAGGAGCTGAACCACAATGTCAATCAATGCACTGCCTCATTCAGAAAGTCTTGCCAGAAAAAAAAATGAGCACAAACAAACAGTATGCTTGCAAATGTCACTGATTAGTTGATTAACATCCCGCCACAGCTGCCAGCTCGCTGCGGACCAGGCACAAACAGGGCCCTGGCCCCGCCCACAGGCCGTGCTTCGTAGCTCCACTCTAATCCTCCCTGCTAGTCTCGTATTTTTAAAGCTTAATTTTCATAGTGATTTCCCTGATCAAAAACCTGTGATGGTTCTTCCCTGTCACTTAAAGTCTAAATCCACTTGCCTGATGGTCTAGGTTCTCCATGATACGATCTTGACCCGACCACTTCCCGAGGCATCAAACCTGCATCCCACCCAACAAACTTGTGTCCAGCTCCCTGTGTCTTCACTCTGCCTGGAGCTCCCTCCGTCCCACTCTGCCTGTGGAAACTGCAGCTCAAAGGCCACCTCTCCTGACGCAGGACACCCAGACCTGCCTGGCAGGTGAGACACCACCTGAGAACATGTGGTCTGAGCTCGAACACACTGCTTGGTCCTTTCTTGTGGGTCAGCTCTGGAGAGAGGCTTGCGACTAATTCACCTTTGGCCCCGTGCTCCCTGAGCTCCTGGCCACATGCATGACCAGGGTCAAAGGATCTGTCAACACACACGTGGTGAAGGGAGGAAGGAACGGGGTGGGACACTCACCCCCTTCCACGGCCCCAGCCCGGGCCTGTGCTCCTACCTGCACTCTGCTCCCTGCTCTACCCTGCAGCGTGCCCCCGGCCAGCGCCCGCCCCAGCCCCCGCCCCCGTGCTCACACACCCTCAGTGCCGACGGCCCGCAGGGGGTGCACGTTGTGCTTGTAGACGAACTTCTCCTCTAGTACCATCTGGATGGCGACGATGACCTGGGCCATGATGATCAGCAGGTCCCCTGTGGGAAAGGACCAACGGGGCCGGGGGTGAGGGAGGCGGGGACAAAGCAAGGCCCTGGGGCTGGTGGCAGGGTGGCAGGCCCAACGTAGAGGGGAGACAGCTTCCATGGGGACACAACAGACCCTAACTTTTGCAGGCGCCACACGGTCATGGCTACCCTCACGCCTGACCTCCTGGCCACCGATGGGTGCGGCAGATGGACACGGCAGATACTGTCACACACTCTGGGCACAGGCCCCAGAGGGTCGAGGCCTGTACAAAGGGGTAAGCGGGTCTTTTGAGCAGCACAGGCCTGGACACAGACATGGCTGGTTTAATCCTATCTCTGAGTGACCAGGGCGGTCGCTTCATTGCAAAATGGGCTGCGCTGCTTCCTTCCAGGGCTTGTGGAGATGACTGTGAAGACAAACACAGTGCTCGGCACCAAGCCGGTCACTTAGTAAGTGCTCAATAAACGTTCGTTTCTCTCCTCTCCCCAATGCAGTGGTTTGTGTGTAGAAAGGTTCATCACAGCACAAGCCCTCTGCCTCCTCTGGCCTCCAGCTCCTCCTCTACCCATTTCTCATGCTGCAGGGCCTCTGGCCTTCCCGACACTCTGTCAACTTGAGAGCTGGTGCAAGCCCACAGTAGCCCATCCCCCGTGTCTTCGCCCAGGGCCTGGCCTACAGAGCTTGTCAAAGTTTGTTGAAAGACTCTGTGCTGGGCTTCTAGAGAGGACAGGACAGGAAGGGCAACCTCTGGGTCCCTGCCTCTGGGCACACCTGTGATCACTTCGCTGAGCTTGTGCTGGTCGTCATGCTTGCTCAGGAGGTCAGCCAGGCCCACCACCACCAGCCCTGCGATGGTCGTGAGGATGCCCAGCCACTGGCTCAGCACCAGCCTCCGCCCCAGGAAGGCCACTGAGAACAGGCCTGTGAATATGATCACCGCTCCGCGCAGCATCTGGAAACTGGAGGCACTGGTCATGTTCAGGGCTAGGAAAGGACAGACACACGACATTAGCTCTTGGGGGCCGAGGCCGTATTCACTGAGGTGTTCTCAGGGCTGAAGACATGCCTCCCACAGCATGTCTGCGCTCAGTAAATCTTGGGCGAGTGTGATCTGTGAACGCCTGTGGGAGATGGGCAGGCAGGGGTGAGGTGAAGATGAGCTGGGGGTGCGGGTGACTGCTTCATCAGTGGCCCCTGTGGGTCATGGGCCTCACTGAGCCCTACTGCACCTGGCCTGGATACCTACCCACATACATGATGCTGGTCCCAGTCATGTCGCAGAGGGCTGGGGGCAGAAAAAGAAGGGGGTTGAAGGGCTGCTGGAGATCCACGCTGGCATCTGGGAGCCTCGCAGCTCTGCACCGGAGAAGGTAGAAGGCAGCCAGGCAGGAGAACTCCCCCAGAAACATGCCCACGGCCTGAGGGACAGAACCCGAGGAGTTCAGAGCTGGAAGGAGGACCACCCTTAACGAAACATTTTTAACGTAGCCTTTCTTCAAACGAGAGCTTACCTATAACCCTAGCACATACAACAGGCGAAAGCAAAGCTGCTGAGTGCAGGAGGCCAGAGGCTGCCCCTGGGTCTGCCCCGAAGCCCCTTAAACATCTTGACACAGACCGTAAGGCTGTGTAGGGCGCGTGTGAAAACCACAGACCTAGGCCAACCCCAGGTCAAGTTCCAGATGGAGAAACTGAGGCCCAGAGAGGCTCAAGAACTTATTCGGGATCACAGAGCAAGTTGCTGGCAGAGCTGGGCTGAAATGTGGGTCTCCCGCTTCCCAGATGAGCAGTGAGGTGCTTCCTGTTTGTGCTGCCTGCCCTGTTCTGGCGGGGCCTGGGCTCCCGGTGAGTGGGGCAAAGATTTTGCTACAAGGGTTGATGTTTTCCAAATGCGTCCTGACTCACACGCGGTGAGGGCTGGCCTGGCGGTGCCCAGGGCACGACTGCTCACTAAGGCCCCTCACGGAGGACTGGCCTCTGACTCTCACTCTCTGGCCTCTGTTGGGGAGGGAGAGCGAAGCGGGCAGCTCTTCTGGGAGCAGGGGAGGACTCCACTCATAGGTCGGGATACAGCAGGACCTCTGGGCCCCTGGCCTGAGGCCTGGGAGATGGGAGGTGGAAGGGACGCGGCAGATACCTGGAGGAAGGGATGCTGGAAGCTGTGCTCCTTGCTTCCGCCGCAGCCCTGGGCCACGAAGTTGTCTGCCCACCTGCAGCAGAGAGAGAAGGTCAAACCCGCGGTGTGGTGGGTGCCTGTGGACAAGCTCACTCCTCTCAATGCCAAGAGGCCATGCTTAGGGGACTTGGCCTAGAGTGGGCTTCCCTCTCAAAGGGGCAGTCTCCATGGCAAGCAGCCTTCCATTGGGATCGTGGTTAGAATGTGGGGACCTTTAGCTGAAATGTTACGAACCTCAAACTGAAGTTAAGCGTTCCCTCAAATGATGAATGTAGCACTGCAGGCCTGTGACTTTGTAACACAGAAACCACAGCTGTTTTCATTATCACATTAGTCATTGCAGATATTGTGAAGTACCATTTACACTCATCATGGCTCCAAAATATAGTAATTAGACTCACTGCTTATAATTTTATGTGTTACGAAGTATATAAACGTATATATATTACTATATCACAAATCTGCTTTTAATGTTTTTTTTAAGATTTTATTTTTATTTATATTTAGAGAGAGGGGAAGCGAAGGAAAGAAACATCAATGTGTGGTTGCCTCTCATGTGCACCCAAGTGGGGACTGCAACCCAGGCATGTGCCATGACTGGGAATTGAACCAGCGATGCTTTGGTTCACAGCCCGCGCTCAATCCACTGAGCTACGCCAGCCAGGGCTTCCTTTCTAATGTTTTGATAACTGTATTTCTGTGATCTGCAGTCTTTTACTTGCACATTTTTTAAAAAGTATTATTTTTTTTTTTAGAGAGAGGAAGGGAGGGAGAAAGAGAAAAAACATCAATGTGCAGTTGCCTTTCATGCGCCCCCTACTGGGGGCCTGGCCTGCCACCCAGGCATGTGCCCTGACTGGGAATCAAACCAGCGACCCCCTCGTTCCACTGAGCCACACCAGCCAGGCATATTTGCACCTTTTAAAATATGACTTTAGGCTTCATCAGCTGATCAAAGAGACCACATGGCACAAAAATATCGAGAGCCACAGGTCTACAAGGGCACCTGGGCCCCGGGAAATGACTGCCTGACACAGACCACCCGGTCATCCTCATGTAACCTGAGGGTTTGGAGGGTCTTTCTAGCGCAGACTGTAAAGCAGGTGGCAAGTGTCCGGCACCAGTGGACTGGCCTCCCTGCCAGCACCCTGGCAGACGGCACGACTGATTATGGCACGCTTCCCCGCTGAGCACACACACAAGCCCAGAACCCTTCACGGCACAGCCACCACCAGCATCTGCACTGTCCGCCGTGTATGCACTAACGCTCCGCCCCTAAGTCTCATTTTTGCTGCCCTTCCTTGTGGCCCTGTGGTTTTTTAGTCTGATCTCTTTCATTTCAAAGCCCTTCAGATCTCTGGAGACTTTTCACCTTCCAGATCTTCTCATCTCCCAGCTAAAAAGGCCCAGCCCTTCCTAACCTTTTGCTTCCCTGGCTGCTGACTTCTGGAAGTGTTCTGCTGGGTCCAGGCCCAGGGCATGTGATCTGACCCAGACTAAGCCTGGCGAGATAGCGGCCCCTCCCTCGGCTGGATGTCCTGGTCAGTTGACATGACTCGGACTGTGTCCACTGACTCCTTAGTTGACACAAGGTGTCACACTGCTGACTCCAACCAACGCAGACCCCGGTGGCTTCCTGTGGGCATTGACCTGCCCCCTCTACATCGCCTGCAACAGCCAAAGGCTGTCTCTAAAATGAAACAGGACTTCTCCCTCTTACATGTCTGCCAAGGGCGGTCACACTGCAGCGCCCAGCCCTGCTCCAGTCAGCTTTGCACAAGCCTGCCCTCCTAAAGGGACGGGGAACCTTCTACTTCCTGTGTCCCCACAGAGCCCCAAGCATGGGCCACTGGTTGTGCCAAGCAGTTAGGGTTTGGGTTTGACAAACATCCTGTCCAGAAATGTCCTTGCTTCTCTGCGCCCTGCTTTGAGGAGGGGAACAGGAGGCTCTTCTCCCCAGCCCAAGGCAAGGGCGTGATGCCTGGATGCTCAAAGTGGGAAAGGTGGGCTGAGTGGTGGTGGAGCTCCTGGCCAGCTGAGACGGTAGCAAAGACCTGTGACGGGTAGACTCCATCTGCTCCGAGATATGAACACCTACCTCCCAGAGAGAGTCAACGAACAGGGCTAAGGCTTATCTCACCGAGGGAGACCCCCCACTCCCTGGGATGTGGAGTGAGAGGGGCAGTTAGGAGGGCTCGTGGTCCTCAGGGGTGATGACACCCAAAGGAGAGCCGCAGGGCGGGGAGTTCTGATAGGACTGGCTGGGAAGGCAGAGAGAAATCTGGGTCAGGGGACCAGGCTAAAACCAGCGCCCGGACCAATGGAGAAAGGAAGCCCCCCCTACAGAATGAAACCACCTGCTCTCTGGGGTCTCACTTCTGTCTGATCTGCTACAGGTTCTCACTCTTAGATCCCCAGGGAGGGCAGGGCATGGGATGTGGGTGGGGGCCACAGACAAACTGTGGCTCAGGGCTGGCCTGCTTTACAACCAGGCTTGCTTTTGCCCCCGGGGACCGGACGGTCTGGATGAAGCAACTGAGCAAAACAGAGAAGAAGCAAAGAGGTCAAACTTCACCAGGGGCACAGAGCCAACTTCCCGGGAGCAAGTGAGCAGGTCAGAGAGGGGGGACTCCTGGGGCTGGAGCCAGGGCTCCTGCAGGAGGGGTGAGGGAGGTCCTGCCGAGTCCGTAAGGTCTGCGGGTAGCCATGGAGCCCCCTGCTCATCTGCTCATTCCAGAGCAGGGATTGGCAGGCTCGAGAAGACCCCCAGATCTAGTGGTGGGCCCACCTGCCAGACCCGCCCCCCACACACACACTCACAAAACTACTGCCTACACAGCTTACAGTAATGACAACTCACATCCGTGTCACTTTGTGGTTCCACAGTCACTGTCACCTGAGAGTGTGAGTTCAGCACCGGCACCTTCCACATCACTCAAGCCCCTGCTTCTGGCATATTACTAGACAGAAGTTCAAACAGTTTTTGGTTGAATGAACAAGACTTCCGGATCCCTCCAAGCGAACAGGCAGATTCTAGAGTCCAGAGGCAATGCCTGATGGGCCCTAATTTTGCACCTGGTCTGAGGTGTCTGTCCCCTGCTGGTGGGACAAGCTGAGCCTGTCTTTTCCCAGGGTGGGACACTGTGTGGGGGGCCGGCTTTAGGGCCGGTGCTGAGCTCCCTTTCTCCTACCCCAAAGGGCTGTCTTCTCCAAGGGGTAGGTCTGCCTGAACAGGTTGGGGCTGGCGGCATTCCCAGCTGGGGAAAAGGAGTCTTTTTGTATCTGAGGGCCTGGGGAGGGTGTATGGCCCGAGGGCTCAGGTGTCAGGGCGCGGGTCAGGCCAGCAGGCACTCTGGGAGGAGTCGGGCTTCTCTCCTGGCCCGGAGACAGACTTCAGTTCATTGTGCAGGCACAGAGGGACCTCGGACGGCACAGCACATGAGCCAAAATCCAGTCCCAGTCCACCTGGGGATGACAGCAACGGCCCCCAAGGTGGGCTAGCACTTGGCCATTTGCAAAACCTGTCACTAAAAAGTTTTTATAAATAGAGGAGTCACTGGGTACTGACTTGGTGCTGGCCTGTGCTGAGCACTCCACGTGGGTTGTCTGGTTTAAGCCTCACTTCATGGATCCTCACCCGACAGACGGGGACTTCAAGGTGGGGGGCGGGGGTGGAAGGGTGGAGAGAGGCACGTCCAGGCTCGTCCAGACTCATCCCGTCAACGACAGGCAGATCAGGCCCAAACCCATGTGCTTGACGTACATTTGGAAAAGGCAGCAGGCTACATGGAAAGCCGATTTTGAGCCTCAGAGGCTGGACAAATTATAGTGTTCTTACCCATAAAATGGGGATAACACTGATGAAGTGTCAGAAGTAATAATAAAATGAGATACAGAGGACCTGGCACATGGCGGGTGGTCAGTCAAAGTTCTTTCCTGCCCCTCCTCCCTGTTCCTCTCCATGAAGCAGCAGCCACGGCCCCTTGTGTTAAGTCCGGCTTGGCTCCAACCTGGAGGCTTCTGGGAGAGCAGCCATTCTCTGGGACCTGCCCTGCTGGCTGGGCAGAGGTGGCTGGAAGGCCTCCGGCTACTGCCCCAGCAGGTCCACAGAGCTGCAGAGTGCTGCAGGGGGAGGAGAAACAGCCACCACGCCCTGTCACGCAGCTCCTTATTACCTGGACGAGGGACGAGAAGCGAGACAGGGCTGAGGGGCAAGGCTTGTGAGGTGCCAGGAGGGCCTGCCCAGGAGTCTCCGCCTCCAGCACCACCCCCTCCCCCCCCCCCGAGCAGTCGGGGAGGAGTCAGTTCTGCAGATGCCCCGGCTCCATTCTCTATAGATACCGTACCCAGGGGAAGGCCATGGCCTCCAGGGCAGGACAGGGTGCGCTGCCCTTGATGCAGGGTGAGTCACTATACATAGTCTGGCCCAGGCAAACACAAAGCTCAGCATTCTGAGAGCGGACAGTATCTGTATGTGGGCCAGGGTGGTGGACCGAAAGGGAGGAAGTGGATGAAGTGGCTGCCTCAGACCCGCTGGCTGTGTGGCCATTCCCCGCAGAATCTCTGCCATTTCCTCTTGAGTGTCTGGCTGGTCAGGCCCAGTGAGTCAGCTCCTTTCTCCCACAGCGGGATCTGAAGCAGAGCTGCTCCACCCTCCAGGCAACCCTGGCTCATGCGGTGATAAGTGAGGATGAGCCCTCTCATCTCTAAGTGCAATGAGAACATCTTTCTCAGAAGACTTAACCTGTGTCTGGAAAGAGGTGGGAAGTTATGCCCATTTTACAGATGAAACTGAGGCTTGGAGGGGCCCTGTGACTCATCTGGTCCCACAGCTTCCAGGTCTCAGGCTTTTCCCACTCTCCTGCACTGCCCTGCTGACATCAGGCTTTCCCCAGCTGGCCCAGGAACCCTGCAAAGCAATTATCCCAGGCCAGCTCATGGAACCCAAGGGTGGGGGCAGCAGCCAAGGCAAAAGTTAGAGATGGCACAGAAGGGATGATGAGACTGCTTCCTTAATAGAGGCCCAGTGGTCCCAGGCCTCCTGCCACTTTCCTGGAAGGGTCCCTGGACCCAGCGGGCCTGACTGGTGGAGGGGAAGTCACCCTATGGCCCCTCCCTGGGTGGGTGAGCTTCACGCCCTGCAGATGTTTAGGAGGGGATCTGAGCCTTACTTAGTGAGTGTCTACTTGACCTTGGCTCTTTACATGCAGACCCCCAGCTGGCTTCAGGAGAGCAGGGCCCAGAAATGGGCGCAACCCCAAGGACAGGCACTGGGCCAGGCAATAGACCGAAGCAGTGCAGAGGAAGGCGAAATGTTTGGTCTCCAGGACCACATCAGCAGAAGCTCCTGGGGTGAAAGCAGCCGCAGAAAGGAGAAGGAGCCACTGCCCAGGAAGGGGCCCTCTGCCAAGACCCAGGGACAGGGCTGAAGGGGCAGCCTGCTGGGTGGGTTTCCCTCCTGTGGGTATGTGACGCCCACCCCCCTCCCAGCCAGAGCAGGCCCATCTCTGCCTAACCTGCTCAGTGGGCAGAGTGGCCTCCCTGGCGGAGGGCTGCCTGTGGTCACAGCAGGCAGCACGTGCTCCTACTCACTTCCCCATCCCCTCTCCTTAGTCCTCCCAAGGGGCCGGGGAGGGAAGCATGGTCACCTTCCAGGCTAAGGAACCACAAGAGGCTACTAGAGGCTCTAAACCTGAATCCTGCATGGCCTCTGGCTAGAGGGAGAAACGAAGCAGGGTGCCAGCAGGGTCCCCTGGGCTGGGACAGAGGCTCATTGCCCAGCCCCAGGGGGAGGGTGCTTTGAGAGAAGAGCAGGGCAGTGCCACTTACAGGGATTGCCCCTTCGGCGGGCACCTGTCTGTCCGTCCTTGCCTGGGGAGATGTGAGAGAAAGGTCCAGGGGAGAGGGACTCCGGGTACTGCAGTCGTAAGCAGCGGGTTGGGCGACAATGCTGAGACCTGGGTTCTGGTACCGGCTCCATGTGACACCGGCTGGCGGAGTCACAAAAAGAAACTTCTCTTGGGACTCAACTATAAATTGTGGGGATTAGAATGGGTGATTTCCATGTTTCTAAAGACTCCAAATGCCCGGAAAAATGGCCAGATGAGTCCCCAGTGCCATCCCATGGTAGTGATTAAGAGCACGGATCACAGAGCTGATTATTTAGGCTCAAATATAAACTTTCTAGATGAGTTAAACTTGGGCAAGCAAGTCCATCTTCCCACACCGGTTTCCTCATCCAAGGACAACGACTATGCCTACTTCACAGGGTGGTTACCGGAATTCATTAAATTAACACACAACAGGCGGCCAGAGGAGGACCTGGCACCCGAAGCTCTCTGTGTATTAGCTCATTAGCTCATTTCACTTGCTATGATTGCATTCTTGTCTGTCTGTCCCCTCCAGAAGCTGCAGGTCAGACTGATTTCAAACTGATAATTAATTCCTATCAGGATGGACACAGCCACTTTCCCAAGTTCTTTCTCGCTGAGAGCATCCTTCTCACAGTCTGGCCTTAAAACACTATTTAGAGTCTAATTCTGGGGCCCATCTCAGGCAGGGAAGCTCCTGAGAGTCCCTGCATCAGGAGATCAGGTGGAGGACAGATCAAAGGTTGGGTCCCCAACTGGGGGACTCTTTCCTGCCTCTCAAGGTAAAGCCCCCTGAGGCTGAGGACCCTCTAGCTTCCTACCTGACCCATCTGGAGCTTTTTAAGAAAGGAGCTGAGTCACTACAGTTTACCCCAGTATTAACTAGCAATCTCATCTCTCCCTGGGGACAGCAGCCCTGGCAGCCGCTCTCTAAGCACTTGACAGATCTTGGCTGATGCTACAGACGGATGGACGGCGACTCGTTCTGCTGTGTTCGGATCCTAACTGGAGATAGGGGCCCTCAGAGTGAGGCTCCTTTACAGCTAAGGGCTCACGACAGGAGTGACCTTCAGGAGGCCGCAGGGCTCGGGAGACCAGCACAAGACAGACACAGGCAGCTGACCCGGAGAGAAGGTGGGCCCCACCCAGAGCTCCACTTCCTTTGGAGAAGGGAGGTCATTGCCAAGTGTGAACACATCTGTCTCCTCCACCTCAGGTTCTAAGCATCTCAAAGGCAGGGACCATTTTTTAGTCACTTCTGTCCACACTCCCAAGTTCAGACAGGGCCTCACACCCTGTAGGCACCTTATATGTGTCTGGTGAGTTGAATAGGATACTTCTCCCCCTGACCTCTCTTCTGGGCCTTTCTCACATCCCTGATGGAGTGTGCTAGGAACAAAAGACTCAAAAACAAATATGCTAGAACCAGCCAGGGAGCACAGGCCAGAAGGTGACTAGGGTGACTCCCTTTTGTTCTGGAGACTGGCAGGGCCCAGGCAGAGGCCAGGTCTGACTGGGAGACCACTTTCCACTGTTCTCCATGCACACCTTGGAGTTGGTTCAGAGACAGGCCAGGCTCTGGGTCCCGGGGCTCTTCGATGGTGGACAGAGGGAGGGAAGGCCCTGCTCTGAGGTGGGGGCAGAGAAAGAGGCAAAGAGCTGCCAGAAGGGGCTGCCGCCCGGACCCTGGTCCTCCTCGCACATTACAGAGAAGAGGCTATGTTTGGTCCCTCAGCCTGACAGCCCTGGGTCCTCAGTCCCCAGCCTCCCTGTTCCACCAGCACCGCACCCTCATACATCATGGCTGAACCACTGGCCCACCTGCCCTCCCTGCTGGGGTGAATGGCACTTCTGTTCTCTCAGACAGAAATCGATCGTCTCTTGAGCCTGTGGGTCAGGCCTTGCGGCTTCATTCTGCACCTGGTTTCTCCCACCTGCCTCTTCCTTTCCCACCTCCTAGTTCCCCTCATCTACCATGCAGCAGGTTTGGGGTGGTTTCCCCTGCACCAAACTACCCTTCACCTTGACCACCAGGTGGTTCATCATATCACTCTTAGCATGTCACGCCTCTGCTCAAAAGCCTCTCTCTCTCTTTGGATTTAATCTTTATTGTATTGTATATTGTAAGTCTTTATTGTATTGTATTTTTTCCCCATTACCATTTAGTCCCCTTATACCTCACTCCTTCAAAAGCCTCTCTTTGATTATGGGATAAAATCCAGCTTGGCCATTTGGTGCTAGTTACAACCTGCTGTCATCTGGCCTTGCTGTTCCCTGCCTCTATGTGCCCCTCGCACCTCCCCGCCCCCCGCCCCACATGTAAACTCCAGCTGTAACCCTTCCTCCGTGAGGGTCTGATAGGGCAGCCCCTTCTCTGCCGCCACAGCCCTCTTTGCTCAGTGATCACTGGGCTTCCACGGCCTCTATTGTAGCTCGCGTGCACCAGTCTGGGAACCTCCTCCCACCCCGACCCACCACTCCCACAGCTCCTGGAGGGCAGGGCCTCCAACACCACCATTGAAAGGGGACCTGGAGAGGGACTGGTCTAAGACTCCCGTTTAAAGATGAGGAAACTGAGGCGCGGAGGCGTAAGGTGACTTGCCAGGTTCAGTCACACAGCGACTCAAAGCTGGGGCTTGGGTCCTCCAGACCGGGGTATGAACCCGCTCCGCAGTTCCCCAGGCCTCGCACCCCTGGGATGGTACATAAACCAAGTGAATCGACCGGAGAAACTGGACGAGCGGGTGAAGCTGGGAGGGGGAGAGCTGAGGTATAGGGTGGGGAAGATGCGCGGGGGTCGCCAGCACCCGCGTGGGCTGCGGCAGGCCCGGCAGAGCCCCCTCCTCTCCCCTCTGGGCATGAACTCACTTTGCTGAGAGCGTGTTGATGGAGCCGGTGACGAGCATAAGCCCGGCCAGGAACAGCTGGTACTTGGTCCAGGCCATGACGGCGGAGGAGGGGAGCACGACACTACAGGGACCCCTGCGACCTCCACGATCACTCGAAACTACAGCCCCTGACCCGGTCACTCGGGGGTCTCAGGGCTAGCGCTTCCGGGCCGGGCATCACGTGACACGTGCAGGTCCCGCCCCCTGCCGGCTCTCCCCGCCCCCAGCCCCGCCCCAGGAGGGCGCGGGGTGGGGCAGCTGCGTTTGCCCAGCCCAAGTGCCCGAGCTCTCCAAGGCTGGGGCCCGGCGCTCTGTCTCCCAAAGGGCCGGACCTCCTCCTTTATAAAAGAAACTGATGCAATGAGGATGCGTCTTGATGTTAGAGCGTTTTGTAAACCGTTTGGAGAGGCTGAGCTGAATCATGTCAGAGGCAAACTACAAAGTGTTTCTGTCCAGCGTGGGAATCTCTTCTCCACTAGGAACCCCGGGAACTCCCAGGAGGCCTGGGAATTGTCTCTAGGGATCCCAGCCCGTGGTGTTGCTCACATCTTCCAGAAAAGTCGTGTAGGAAGCTAGTCCCCGCTCACTGTGAGACCATGTTATAGCTAACGAAACGAAATTGAGAGCAGCCGATTGATTTGCCTATGATCATGCAGTGAATGATGGGGTGAGGAGTGGCGCGCAGATTCTTCAGTCCACTGCTTCTTCGTCGTCCCGATGCTGCTCCGTGGCATCGCGGCGGAAAGACCTTGGTCTGTTCGCAGAAGGTCTCCGGCTTTCGTAGCCCTACTCCTGGTTTTCAGGCCCCGGGCACACTCTGTTCTCATCTCCAGGTTTTTTTTTTTTTTTAATTTTTAAATTTAATTATTTTTCAACTACAGTATTCTGTCTTTTACTCCCAACCCAGCCCACTCCCCACCCCGTGCCCCCCACCTCCCTCCCATTTCCACCCCCCTTAGTTGTTGTCCATGTGTCCTCTATACTAGTTCCTGTTCATCTCCAGGTTTTTAGTCTGCACCCCATGCCTGTCACACCACAGGTTGGAGCCCAGGGCCTTCCAGCAACCGCCTCAGACCCAGGGGGCACATTTCCCCCCATCACTGCAGATTTTGTTACTAAAGTTGCAGAGATAGGGCCTGTCTGCCAAGTCTTCCTGCTTTACCTACCCTAAGACTGTACTTGTGAAAATGACCAATATTGAATCAGAAACACCCTCAAGAGACTGCAGGAGGCCCTTTTATCGCAGGGAGACCTGATGTAGGAGGTCACCTGATAGACAGGGAAAGGGTTTCCCAGAGGAGGGAGTGGCACAGAGGTGCGAGTGGGCGTGGAGAGCATCTGACCTGCTGACCATCTGGGCACTTTCCTTCTCTGGAGCCTGTGCTCACAAGTCAGCTGGGAAAATGGGAGACCCGGAGGAGGTTTCTTCTGAGCTTCTTGTCCTCAATGATATCAGGAGTTTGATGTGGTTTAAAAGGAATTAATTCAGCTATCCAAAAATAATTACTGAGACTCTGGGCCCGTAGAGACGAATGAAGCACAGCTTCTGTTGCATGGGGCGGGCTGGTGCAGTGCACATCGGCTGGACAGCCCCACCGCTTCTGGAGGCAGTTCCTGCAGGCCATGCTGACGTGCTCTGTGGGACTCTGGACCACCTTCCCCCTGTGTCCAAGCCAAGGGCACTCTCTTGAAGTAAACATGACTAATGATTAATGGGTCACCAGCCCGACATGACATCACTAGTAGCACAGTCTTTGTCTCTCCCTATAGCCACATTATAAAATGAATTTTAATTTATTACCGGGTTCTGAGCATTCATCAAAGTGTTGTCCCTGGAGCCAGGAGACAGGAGGGTTTGTTTGGAAATGTACCTTTAGCCCACTAAGTACCAGGCCCAGAGCCAGATGTGAGACCTCAAAGAGGCCCTCCAGGAGTTTGGGATTTTATGGAGGAGAGGGGTGAGCACCTGGGTGACCATGCAGCAATGTGGAGGAGGCAGAAGCAGCTGGGATAGCATGGGATTCTTCAGGAGAGGCAGGGGCGAGGGCATGGCAGTGACAGTCAGAGCTTTGCTGGAACCGGCACCCCCATCTGTGTCTGCTTGTGCAGGGGGCTTGACCACTGTGACCTTTGTTCTCAGAGCCGCCCTGTGCACTGGAGATCAGGGGAGATTTGAGCAGGGGCTTGACAAAGGAACAGAGTTGCTCTAGGTGGAGAAGAGGGTCATGTGGGGCAAAGACCACCATGTGGACATCATGGGGAATGACCTACAGTGATGCTCCCAGTCTCTGCCAGCCTGGCTAGACTGGGCTTTATAGGTGAAAATTAGGGTTGATCTTAGTGTCCTCAAGTAGCTGTGAGCCCGGGGTTAAGGTCTCGCAGCCTCCAGATACAGGAATTCTGAGAGCAGTAAAGAAGGATCAGCAGAGAAGGCGTGTTCATACTCAGGCTTTGCAAAAATCCTTTGGGTTATTATTTAATTGAATTCAGGGATAGAGTTTAATGTATATGTTGGATACAAATTTGCCTCATAAATTTAGAAGCTGTGATTTCCTGGATTAAATAACATACCCACAACTCAAACCTGAGACCTTGCTGAGGCTTTTTAGAAGGTGAGAGGTGGATTGCTTCTCAGCCTTTTGGCTAAGATCAAGTGTAGAAGGTCAGAGGTGGGCCGGCCCCTTTGTGTGGTGTTTCCTACCTGCTCAGGTGTGACAGTCCTGATTAAAGACTATGGTTTGCCCGCAGACCATGGAGGCTGGAGTTACACGAAAGGGAGTACATTTTCAGCAAAGGGAGGAAATTTACTGAGCATAAAGGGTGGGGTGGTGGACAGAGATGGAAATTTCTCCATGTGCCCCCAAGAGTACAGAATCTTCACGTGTGGAAATGACATCTGAGGGAGTTGTCTGGACTGGGGAAGAGAGGGAGGGCTGCTTTGGGCTGGAAGGGATCTGTTACTTTGAGCAAAGTGGCCGTGGTTCCCTCACTCAAAGCGCTACTTTCCTGTTTGTAAAATGGGAAGAATAATACTCACAGCTTGTTGTGCGGAGGGAAGGAGGACAGAAGTGGAAACGCTCTGGGGGTGGGGACCCCAGTGACCACAGGAGAGTTAGTTTGTTGTTAGTTTGTGAGATCAGGGCCGGTCTAGGGGATCCGTCCAGAAAGGACCCCAGGCTGGGCGTTAAAGGGCACTCCTCACATCTTGCTTAAGTGCCTTTTCTCCCAAAGTCAGGGACATTTTGAACAAATTTGTATGATACCCTCCGAAGAGCCTCTAATTTCCAGAGTCAAAACACACCGGTGCAAAATCCTGCATTTGTATTCAAAGCTTACTGCCAGCCTGTGGCTCGTCTGAAAGACTGAACATTTCCTCAATCAATTTAATCACATCCTGGATTAGTCGAGGGTTATTTTATCCTGGGAAGGACGAAGACAGTCCAGCCAGACCTGTTTCGTTTAAAACAAGTGTTTGCTGTCTGTCCTTGGGCTATTTCCCTCCTGGGTAGCCTGTCCCTCTGGCAGGATGTGATGGGCAGGTGACAGATTCGTTGATTGACAGAATTTTAGTCAAGCTCCTGAGCCTTCTCCTCGGCCCATCTCTGTGCTTATAAAATCCAGTTTTAGCAAGAACCCTGCAAAGTCAGTTAAACCAGCACCCCTGGACTCCCCATCCGACCACGTTCTCCTCGCGTCCTCCGCCATCCCCACGGCGATGTCTGATCCTGTCTTCAGCATGGATCCTGTTGGGTCAGTTTAGCCCTGTTGACCTGTTCCCTCTTCATAGTTTCCCTCCATTGACCCCACCCTGCTCTTCGGCTATAAGTGACACCTGCCCAGGCTGCATTTGGGACCGAGCTCTGGACAACCCTGTAGAGACTGAGGTCTCTTTGCCCGACTGCAATATCGTTTTTGTCGCTTTAGCTACTGTCTGGTTTTCCTTTGGCACAGGACTGCGTATCCAGTTGCCTCTCTGTCCCAACACCGTGGGCATCAGAGGCTGCGGCTGGGGAGAGGAGCTGGGGCCTCAGGAGGAGGAAGGCAGGGTGGTAGGTCCTGGCTGTCTCCTGGGACAATGAAATCGGGCCTGACAGGCCCCAGCCAGGGAAGGGAATGTGGATGGTCGGCACTGGTGGTGAGGAGGTAGATATGTTTTCCAGGTCTTTCTGGTGGACTTTATGGTTTGTTTCTATGGTGACTGACCACGATTAGATCAGGAGTCACCTGCTAGCTTCAGGCCCTTCTAGCTTCAGTCTTTCTCAAAACTTGCCCCTTTGCCTGTCTTTCTTAATACGTATCAGCCTTGGGGTGGGTCCCTGGAGCTTGAAGCCTGGGTTGGGTTTGGTCCTCTGGGAGCCGGATCGAGTCAGCCAGAAAAAACTGGACCCCTGCCTAAATTCGATTCAGATAAGAAATGAAAATGAATCGTTGTTTTTAATGTAAGTATATCCTCAGTACCACCTGGGAATACAGTTCCACCAAACAATGACTTGTTATTCATCTGGAACTCAAATGTAATCCAGTATCTGGTGTTTCATTTACTCAAGGTGGACCGGGACATCAGCGGCTTTGAATCCGAGTGTCTCCAGCAAACCGCTTCCTTTGATTACGCTGTCGAGAAAGCTCGTGGTACTGTCTTCCTCTGATTCTGTAAAGTCTCTAAATTGGCACCAGTACCCTTGCAGGCGTGTCTTGCACTGGGGAGCCCTCAGGTCCCTGCGCGTAATGCCCTTCTGATTTGAGATGAGGGACGGCGGCATCTACAGGGGATTCTGAGGCAGGCAGCGGGGAGATTCCTGCCCTCTAGCGCAGTTTCGGGGTCTTCTCAGCTCCCATGTAGCCCAGGCATGGGTCCCCCCGGAGGAAGCATGATCCAGTCCAATCCTCTTGCTGTTCACATGAAAAAGCCTTGTCCCAGAAAGGAGGGGACTTGCCCACATCAATAGTGAATGACGGGTGGACACTATTATTTATTTATTTATTTATTTATTTATTTAATGTGGATTCAGTGTTGTATTAATTTAGCTTAATCTGGGTAGTAATAAAATATTGGCCGGGCCTCTAAATGCTTCATAACATAAAAAATGATACAACCTGCGAACAAACGACTGAAAAACAAAAGCATTTTTGAAATAGCTGGGAGACACTGAACTTGGTCTCCCAGGAAAGGAAGTTCTTGCTAATTTCGCTGGTTGTG